AAAAAAAAAAAAAAAAAAGCACCAGCCAAGTAAGTGAGCAGAGGAAGTATCAGTTGCTAAGTTCAAACCTAGTACTGCAAAGGGAGATAGGGAGGGAGGGAGGGGTCAGGAAGGGAGGGGAGAAATAAATAGGGCACATAAAGAAGCTATCTCGTCTCTGCCCTCTCCTTTGAAAAGGTAAAAAGTTATTAACTCTTTATAACTGGCTAGAGATAAAAATGATAAGAAAAAATGAGAAAAGGAAGACTTAAAACTTAGCTATTATCCCTGTGTTTTGGTAAGAACTAGATCTCACCTCCATGTTCTAGAATAAACAGCGCCCACCTTACTAACCCAAAACAATCATCTCAGGATTAGAGTGTATTCTTCCATCTCAGAAAATATAAGGGCTATAGACAGAAATCAACATTTTGAATCTTTAACTCCTATACCCCCTGTGGGGAGCAGGAAACATTTCATCCATTTATTTTTATTTCTCCCTATTTAAATAAATGTGGCTCAAATGGTAGAGTGCCAGTCTTGAGCTAAAGAGTTAAGGGACAGCACCAAGGCCCAGAGTTCAAGCCCCACAACTAAGACACACACACACACACAACTGACTCACACACACACACACACACACACACACACTACCAAAATCTGGAAAAAAATAGTGCCACACCACACTATAATCAAAAGAACTTATTAAATAAATTTGTCGTTAACATTAATATTGAGGATATCATTTAAGTATGCTCAGGATATTTTAATGAAACATTTGAAACTATTTGTATGCGATGGTACATTACTCAAAGTAGATTCTTAATATACCACCATATTATTTATTAGTTGGTACTCTGTGTAGCCAGATGCTTCCTTCTCCCTCAACCGCTCAAATCCTAATCCCACAAATCAATGAGCATGCTATCTTGCATGAAAAAAGGAGTTTTACAGATTGCTTTCAGTGAAATGGAATAGACTTCCAGAAGCAACCTTTAAAGGCCCTTGCTAACAACAAAAAAAAAGAGGAAATTAAGAAAGTGAATTCAGCAAGCAACCTGAATGAGTAAGTTCAGGGATTCTTTCCCAAGTATTCAGTAATGAATGCAGTCCTCCAAACCCTAATTTTTGACTGGTGAAACCAAAATTGAGTCTACTGGACTAACTATGAGATGATAAGATCAATTTAAACCATTCAGTTCATGGTACTCTTCTACAGCAGCAACATAAAACATGTACACATACCTAGGTCAAAAAGCAGAAAGAAGTAGAAACACACACACATACACACACACCAATTCAAGTTGTGTTTTAAATTTTTTAAATTCGCTGGCTCAAACCGCATTACACCCCTGAATAAATATTAGGCACTTACTAAGATAAAACACATAGGTTGGGAATGTGGCTTAGTGGTAGAGTGCTTGCCTAACATGCATGAAGCCCTGGGTTCAATTCCTCAGTACCACATAAAACAGAGAAGGCCGGTAGTGGTGCTGTGGCTAAAGTGGTTAGAATGCAAAAGAACTTGTGCAAAAGAAGCTCAGGGACAGTCCACAGGCCCTGAGTTCAAGCCCCAGGACTGGCACACAAAAAAAAAATTGTTTACTAAACTGAAATGACTAAATATTCACATTCCTAAGTTTTTTACCTTTACAGGATGTTTTCGAGGTAAACGACTTTTCCTGATGAAATGGGGCCTACAATCCCCACCCTCTCCACTACAGTGCACCACTTCTTGACAACACAATCTTGATGGGTTCCTGTCAGCCACGGTTCCAAGGAAGATGCCTCTGCCTCTGCCTCTCCTTGGTCCCACTCTTATCACTACTGTGATTCCACACAGAAACCTAGAAACACAATCCCACATTCCAGCCCTCCCTGCTATTGAAATGTCCTACTTTGGTCAGTACCACGAGTTCATTCTAAATACGTAGTAAACATTCATCAAACATTTTTTTCTGGTGACCTTCAATAGCTACGATAGCTTACTTATTATGCCAATGATTAAGAATAAGAATCATAAAAAAAAATCTTTAGGGCTAGGAAGGTGGCTCAGTGGTAGAGCGCTTGCCTTGCATGCTTGAGGCCCTGGGTTCGATTCCTCAGCCCCACATAAGCAAAAAAAGAAAAAAGCCGGAAGTGGCACTGTGGCTCAAGTGGTAGAGCGATAGCCTTGAGCTGAAGAGCTGAGGGACAGCGTCCAAGCCCAGAGTTCAGGCCCCACGACCAGACCCAAAAAATAAAAATAAAAAAATAAAAAAAAAATCTTTAGAATCTCATGACTGGCACTGCTTCAATGAAGATACAAGCATTTACATTTCTGCAAAAGCAATGCAGTTGCTGGCCAAGGCACATATATTGAGCTAATGTTTTTATTATAACATATATGTATATGTTACAATAAAATGTATAAAACATATACATTTGTATAATATGTATAATGGAAAGAATTATTTCATTTCTGTTCCTTTCTAAAGTACCCTTCATAAATAGGAATTACTAAGAGTGGCAAAAGTCTTATAATAGCAGAGTCTTCTATCAATAATTCAGTCAAATGTTTCCTGGGTTACCAGAAAGCAATAATTTTTCTCAAATATACATGTAGATTAAACCTGGAGTCATTTTCCATAACCACCCAAATATTTTACATACAAGTTTTACCTGTAGAGCCAATGATATTCAGTTGTACCTTAAAGAAGTGAAGGTAAAGTCACATAAACTTTTATTATTTTTCACTGAATCTACATCAACTTTAGATACTCTGGAAAATGTAGTTTCACTAAGAAGCTGCACTCTGTCCCCCTGCAGCCTTGTCTTAAAAACCACAGGAAAGGAAGCAAATCTAATAGGAACCACCATTGCTTTGAAGATGGCCACTGTTTAACACCACAGGGAAAAGCAATTAAATTTAATAGAAGTTCTTATTTGTGGATAAAAATACACAGTATGTGAACTAAATTAAATACACCGGGCAAGAAATATAGAATTTTGTATCAAATATAACAGGAAAATAGAAATGTGTTCTACATTATTACTTTCTGCACTGAGGACAATTTTAGTCATTTCTTCTTATCCTCCTTCAACTTCTTGTTAAAACTTTACCAGTCACTTCCTTCTGTGAATTGTTGTTTTCTAAGCCATGAACTGAATGAACAAGAAGCGATCCAAGTCTACCTAACATAGAGTCATTAGAAAATCATGCAAAAAAGCAACTGGTTGCCATAAGAGAAAGTTAACACCCATTGCATGAAATTACCTATCAGGGTAAACTGTCCCATAATAATCTCAAAACAGGAAAGCATGTCTACAAGTAGCAACTCAGCCTATGTAAAATAAAAATATCTAGTCTGAAAAACTATTGTAGTGAGAGGCACACAGTGTGAATGATATAAAAACATAAATGCCTCAATGATTTAGTTTTTCCACTATAATAACAAAAATATACATTTAATTTATGCTTTATTTTTGAGATATAACTTACCAATTTAGCAACTTTTCCATAGTCAATCCATCTGACAGTAGCAAAATTTGTAGACTCTGCACAGTTGAAACCATGATTGAAACCAGCATGGTAGCCATATGGAAAAGTGATCATGAATTCCCCAGCCTCCTGGGTTATCTGCAGGGCAGAATATAGGTAATATTCTCCAGCAATAAGCCTTGCCAAATTGTGAATACAATTAATATATTTCAATACAAAGAAAACAAAGCAACATGTTATATCAAAAACATTTTAATATGTAAGAATTTCCCCAAAATTCTGTACTAACCCATTGGCAGTGGAGATTTTTTTGTTTTTTGCTTTTGTTTTTGTGCTGGTACTGAGGACTGAACTCAGTACTCTCACTTGGGGGGAAAGGGGAAACAGTCCTGGTGCTTGAACTCAGGGTCTAAGCACTATCCCTGAGCCTCTATGTTCTCAAGACTAGCACTCTACCACTTGAGCCAGAGCACCACTTCAGCTTTTACTGAGTAGTTTATTAGAGATAAGAGTCTCATAGACTTTCCTGCACAGGCTGGCTTTGAACTGCGATCCTCAGATCTCAGCCTCCTGAGTAGCTAGGATTATAGGTATGTACCACCAGTGCCCAGCTTCAATTGGCATTTTTGCTCAGTTAGTGCTCTTGAGCAACCAGTGCTCAACTTCATTAATAGTGGTTTTTCAGGGAACTTTGAAAAGAATTTTGTAAACAGGATGGGACCTTCTGATACTTTAAGTTCAACCATTGGACTACACTCAAAGATATATTTTATTTGAGAAGGCATTCAAATTAATTTCATATTGCTATCAATATACATATTTTAATACTTTAACAATTTGCATTACTTGGTTTATGTATAAAAGGCATCACAACTGGCATAAGTGAGATTAGAGCTATAGAGATATTGACAATGCATGCTACACAACCTGTAATATGAATTCTTCTCTTGTTCTTTTTTCTTTTTTTTTTTGGTGGGGGGCAGTCATGGGGCTTAAACTCTGAGCCTGGACACTGGCCCTCGCTCTTCAGCTCAAGGTGAGCGTTCTACCACTTGAGCCTCAGCACCACTTCCTGTTTTCTGGTGGTTTACTGGAAATAAGAGTCTCACGGACTTCCCTACAAGGACTAGCTTTGAACCACAATCCTTAGATCTCAGCCTTCTGACTAGCTAGGATTACAGGCATGAGCCAACAGCACCGGGTTTAGTGTAAATTCTTATTGGTAAAGTTGATAGCATTCACTCATTATTCCTTTGTAAAACTTGGAGAACATTCAATTAACTATGTTCCATTTAACATGTAAACTTCTGTTCAAGGAATTCTTCAAATATCTGTATGCATGTCAGTGTGTTTATGAATATAATGAAAATTACTTGAATAAATATGTCTGAAGTCTAAAGGAAATATGAAAAACATTTATTCTATTGCTACTTTATTAGAATGAAGATGTTTGTTTCTCTATAATCATCAAGCCAAAAAATGCCATGAATTATAGAAAAAAAGCCAAAAAAGTAATGCTATTTCTTCGTTAGAAATTAACTAAATTACAAATCTATTGCCCTCAAGTAGAGTGATCTAATCGTCATTTTCCTTTATTTAATATAATGCTGCATGTATCTAACCTTCAACCCCAAGAGAGTTCTCTGAATTCTTTAAATTGGCATAAAGTACTATCATCAATATGCAAAGAATTTGGACAATGAAGAAAACTTCCTAATAGATTTCTACAATACTTAATTCATGTTATTGGTTCACATTGAGAGCTATTATTTTCTACTAGTTTCTTAAGTAAAATAAAAGTTTAAAGCCATACTTATTTGTTTTGTGTATGTTTCTTGAGAAAGAGACTATGTAGTTCACACTGGTGTCAAACTCATTATGTGTTCCAGAATGGCCTCATTTTTTTCTGGGGGGAGGGGGGGAAGGTCAGTCATGGGGCTTGAACTCTGGGCCTGGGCACTGTCCTCAGCTCTTCAGCTCAAGGCTAGTGCTCTACTACTTGAGCCTCAGCACCACTTCCAGCTTTTTTTCTATTTATGTCCAACCCAAGGCCTCACACATGCTAGGCAAGCACTCTACCAAAGCTACCTTCCCAGCCCCAAATGGCCTCAAATTTATCATCCTCCTTCCTCAGAATCTCAAGTGCTGGGATTTCAGGTATGTACCACCATGCTCAGCTAAATGTACACTTTTAATTATTCTGACTAAAAAGAATAATTTTCCATTTTCTTTGAGATATAATACATATTATACAATATGCAATATTCAGTTATGTACAGTTTGGTAAGAATAGAACAGTGTATTTTATTAGAAGGCTAATAGTCATTTCAAATCACAAAAGAAGTTGTGGAAGTGCATGTAATCTATAGGCATTATTTTTCATAAGAATATATATGAATTGTGCAATTGATTAAAGGAAGGAGGGGGAAAAAGTGTTTGTACTAGCTACATGCTCTGCCCTTAGAGGGACATGGCTGTGTTTAAGGGGAAGAACATGCTGCAAAGTAACATATTATGAGAGAGCACTCTATATACATTTTCTCTTTTCTTTCTCACAATAACTCTATCAAACAGTGATATAGTGATATTATCCCCATTTTACAGATGAAGAAAATAAAGCTCAGAACACTTATGTGCTACAAACCAAGAATAAACCAGAAACCCAACGATCCTTCTGCATCACATAACCTTTCTCCAAAGACTAACCAATCCTAAAATTACTGCTAGTACCTAAACCAGCCTTAACCTATGGAGAACTGTCTATCCTGGAAGACAATAGTCCACTACTTCTGTCATGTAGATACAGGTTTTCCTAACATTGCATTTTAATACTGTGGCTCTTCTAAGTAGAGTAGTTCATGAAGCTAACACTAACCACCTCAAAGCACTCAGTGGGGTTATAGATGTAACACAGTGGTAGGGCACTTGTCTAGCATGTGTAAGGCCCTGGCTTCCATCCATTCCCTTCCCCAGGGATATTGGGGAGGAGGGGAAATAAGGGGAGACAGAGATACAGGAAGAGAGATGATATGATGATATATCTGAATCTCACAAAAGCTTGCTGCTCAGAAGTGTCTGCAGCTAGGTGCCAGTGGCTCACACCTGTAATCCTAGCTACTCAGGAGGCTGAGATCTGAGGATCACTGTTCAAAGTCAGCTGGGGCAGGAAAGTCCATGAGACTCTATCTCCAATAAACCACTAGAAAACCAGAAGTGGCGCTGTGGCTCAAGTGGTAGAGCACTCGCCTTCAGCTGAAGAGTGCAGGGACAGCGCCCAGGCCCAGAGTTCAAGCCCCACAACTGACACACAAAAAAAAAAGTGTCTGCAGGTGCAGCAAAGCCCCTATGTGGCAGTGGCCCCACTGCAGACACAGCCTCTGCCCTCTACACTTGATGGTGTGTGCCTGCCGCCAGCAGAGGCCATTCCACAGTGAAATGGTTACAAGTATATAAGTAACAAGCATGCTCATTACAGGGACAGTGTGACTCGTGCATGACTGCACACAAACACTTCGTCAGGGCACAGGAGACTGCCTCAGCTGAGGATTATCAGCACTTAGGAAAATCCAACTTTGAACAAAGCCCTCCTACCAAAATAAGGCCCCATAAAGACCTAAGGCCCTGAAGATAGATTTAGTCATGTGCAAAAATGCTTCTAAGGGGAGCTGGGAAGGTGGCTCAGTGGTAGAACGCTTGCCTTGCATGCATGAAGCCCTGGGTTCGATTCCTCAGCACCACAAGAGCAAAAAGAAAAAAGCCGAAAGTGGTGCTGTAGCTCTAGTGGTAGAACGCTAGCCTTGAGCTGAAGAGCTGAGGGACAGTGCCCAGGCCCAGAGTTCAGGCCCCACAACCGGACCCAAAAGAAAAAAAAAAAAAAAAAGCTTCTAAGGCAGAAAACAGCAAGGATTCTGGGAAGAAAAATCAAATGAAAAATAGAAAGAGGACTCTTTTCCAATATTACTCCAAATAGCTATGGGTTTATTCCTCCTGAGACTTAGACTGTGCTTTAATTTATCTGCTCAAAAGTTTTTCTCAGGGGCTGGGAAGGTGGCTCAGTGGTAGAGTTGCTTGTCTTGCATGCATGAGGCCCTGGGTTCGATTCCTCAGTACCACATAAGCAGAAAAAGCCAGAAGTGGCACTGTGACTCCAGTGGTTGAGTGCTAGCCTTGAG